CACAGGATTCTCAAACCAGCTGTAGGGATGGTCCTCTTTGTCCCCAACTCACAAAGCTTCTAAGGCCTGAAGACTTTAAATGATTTTCCCAGGCCATCCATGGGCACACTTAGGATTCTAACAGGAAGTTCAGGGCATCCACAGACTCTACACCGCACTACTTTTTTAAAATCATTTTTTTGAGAAAGGGTTTCACTATGTAGTTCACGTTGGCCTTCAACTCACTGGGCAGCCCAGCCTGGCCTCAAACTCTTGGTGATCTTCCTGTCTCAGTCTCCCCAGGGCTGGAATCGCAAACTTGTGCCACCATGCCCAGCAACACCACACACTCTTCTTCCCTTGCAGCACAGCACCCCATCTCCAAGTTCCCAGGCTGTTCTCACCCCTGAGCGGCACAGGCCAGTCTGGTACCTTGTATTCAGCACCCCAGGGCTCGTGTCAGAGCAGCTATGGACCTTCAGGACTCCTGTCCACGTCCCCCTGGCCTGCTCTGACCCTGCCCCACTCCTCCGGGAAGTCGATCAGCCTGCTTTCTCGGAAGGCATCCAGCCAGATGCTCCCAGCTGGTCAACAGCCCCAAAACCCCTCCCAAGAGGCGGTGACAGCAGGGACCTCAAGCCCCAGGGGACACACTGAGCTGGGGATTTTCAAGGGGTCAAATCTCATGGGGAGTAGGGACTGCGCTTCCTTCGGTCCCACAGCCATTCCCGGCGGGTCATTCAGCGGGCGTGTGATCAAGTTCCTAAGTTCCCCGCCTGCCGCACCCAGGGGACTTTCCGCCCCCATCTTTACTCCCCTGGAGAAGAGTCAGAGATCCAGTCGGGTGAGCGGAGAAAGTGGGGACAAAGGGAAGGAAAGTCATTTCCTGCCAAGAGGAAGGAAGGAGGCCGGACGAGCCAGCCACCGGCAAGCTCTAGGCAGCAGAAGCCCGGCAGGGGTCCCCAGAAACACCTCTGGAAACTACCTCTCAACTTTTTCCCTTACGGCCCCAGGAAGTTAGGGTTTGGGCCCAGGGTTAGACTTTGCTGGGGGCTGCACCCCAATGCTGCTCCCACAAGGGACCTCAGAGCCTCAGAGAAGGGTCCCTCCTCTCCCCACCTCAGGGACAGGAAGAGGCACAGAGCTGGGCTCCAGCTGTGCCCCACCTCTTTCCTGATGGGTGACCCCGGCCCAGGTCATCCAACCTCTCTGGGCCTGGTCTGTTCATAAATTGAGAATAAGAGTCCGCGCAGAGGGTGGCCGAAAAGACAGGAGAGAGGGCGCTCCAGAGCTCGGTACAGACGGGTGCAGAGAGGGGTCGGGCGGTTACTCAGCCCCTGAGGGCGAGGAGGAGCCCCCTCCCCCACAAGAAGCCGAAATCCGGACGCTGCCCAGCCTCGGTCGCAGGTCTCCAGATCTAGGCTGGAGGGGGCGACGCCAAGACCGCCGCAAGCACCCACTCCGGATGGCCCAACCCCACGTCCTCCGGCAGACCGCGCACCTGGAGCCCCTCCTCCCCTCGCGACCCCTGAGCTCCGGAAGCCCGGCGCCCCACCGCGGACAGCGAGCAGGGCGCCGGCCGGGTCACCGCGGGGACGCTAATTCGATCCATGTGCGGGACGCGATCCTCTTTGTGCAGGAGCTTCCGCCCCGCGCACCCCGACCCTCTGGGCAGGAACCCGGCCCCGCCGCCCGGCTGAGCCCGGACCCTGGGCACTAGGCGCGAGGACAGAAGGACAGCGCCGCCTCTCGCGTGACCACAGAAGCGCTAGGCTGGGGTCTGCCCGGCACCAGGTGGGCTCCGCCCCGGGGACGCAGCGCCGTCACCTGTGTGTGGCTGAGGCAGGCACGCCCGGCCCGGGATCTCCCGCACCCCCTTACCTGGAGCGCCCCGCAGCCGTCTGTCCGGACCCAGCGCTCCGCGGCCGCGCTCCGCCCGCGCCTCCCGGCCCCCGCCCTCGCAGCCCGCGCCGCTTCCATAAAAGGTGGCGTGGGGGAGGGGCCGGACTCCGAGCGCCCCCACCTGCCCCCCCACCTGCCGGCTGCCGGCTCCCGCCCCCTCCCTTTGTTTCCCGACCACTCCTCCCGCCCCTCCCTGCCTGGGGGTGGCGCCCACCCTACGAGTGGTCGGTCCCTCTCCCACCCTAGGTCACCTAGATCGACGGTTCTACCTTCCCCATCAGGGATTGGGTGCAGTCTGTTGCTTTCACCCAGTCTGGCCTGGGATGCGCCAGGATCTTAAAAGTCTGGCAGATCTGGCTTCTCTGGCCCTGCGCTAAACCTGTGCCCTGGGTCGATCACTCTCACCCCCCAGCCTCGGTGCCTAAATCTCCAGCGTGGCCTGGGGATGGAAGGCACAAGGGCTGGGAGTGGGACCGCTGGGGGGGGGAGGGATGCTCCTGGGGAGGGAGGCTCAGACACCCCAGCGCAGCATTGATTTGCTGTCCTGAGCAAGCAGCACTGTTCCTGGCAGGAACCCCTGCAGGTGGGTGGGGAGGGGAGGGAGGGCAGGCCCAGCTGGCAAGCGAAGGGCTTGGTTTGCCCCTCTCTTCCCTCCCGCACCCCTCCCCCAAGCTGGAGTAGCTGGAACTTTGGTGGGAGGAGAGTAAGGGCGCCTGGCTCTGGGGCCCTGACTAGGGCAGAGATGGGCTGCTGGGTCCCTGGAGGCCTCAGGAACATTGTTGGGAAAAGGAATCTGGGTCTGATTCAGAAGCAAACAGATTGTTCTCATGATTAAAGCCACAGCGGTGCCGGCCAGGGGAGCTCTGGACCCAGTGCCATGGGGGGTGCGGCCAGGAGGGAATCTGGCCCCGCCACACCCTAAGGGCTCACATTCACAGGCATCAGCAGGGGTTGCCTGGCACTCTGCCCCATCTTCCCCTCACCCACTGAGGGTTGCCCTTCCTGTGACTCATGTCATCCCTTTTCCCATCTGTCCCCACAGCCACCCTGCAGTAACAAAGGCAGGAGCCACCGTGGCTGGACCTCCTGTACCACTTACAGACAGCTCATGGAACCCCACCGAGCGGACCCAGGCTGGGGCTCATCAGCCCTGCCCTGAGAGGCCCAAGCGGCCAGGGCCAGAGCTTCATTCAAACAGAGCGGTGGGGGCTCCCAGGACACTGCTCTGCCACCCACAGGTACAGGAGTCAGCGCCATCCTTACAGATGTCCAGTGGGGTGAGCGAGCCCCTGCACCCCAGCCTCCGCAGCAGCCTTAGGAGAAGGTGCCCCATGGCCCCAGCAATAGGGAGGAGGAGGCCGCTGGACACAGGCAAGAAGGGCCTGCCTGGGGCTGTAGGACCCCTTATCAAGAGCTCGGTGATGGTGACGCAGGAGCTTATTTACTTCAGGTCAACAAGGAGCACCCTGTATTCATCGCGCCACCTCGCTGTGCCACCAAAGAGGACTGCAGAGCACCCAAGGGTTGGCTGTGGCCTGGCCCAAGGTCACAGTGACTCATCTAGGATCCAGGCTCCCTGTCTCTACTCTGGGATGGCCGAGGGGAGAGTGGGGGTCCAGGTGCCACCACTCACCAGCTGCCCGCGCCCTGGCCTGCTCGCTCACCTCAAGCCTGCCCCAGATGGAGGGCACCGCCCAGGCCAGGCCTGGTGTCTGTGTCCTTGTCACAGATAGGCAGGTGCCGAGCTTCCTGCAATGGAAACTCAGGAAGTGCCCTGGCCAAGAACACACACCCTTTGTCTGCCTGCTGCTTGGCCCTGCTCCTGCCTCCCTGCCCTGGACTCAGGCTGCTTCTCCACCTTGGAGCCCCAGTGGGAGAGGGGCTCCGTCTCCTGCCAGATCCCAGGCAGCTTGGACTCCAGCCACTGGGTACCATCCACCACATGCAGGCAGTGGTCAGGGAGTCAGTAGGAATCCATGCACCATCTGTCCTCACTGCCACATTGCACAGGGAGGCAGGGGACATGGAGCCCTGAAGCAAAGAGTGTGACAGTCGCCCAAAGGGGGTAGAAAGAGGAAGAGGAAACCAGGGGCTGAGACAGAAGAGGGGTCCTGAGAGGATCCTCTGTGAGGAGATGGCTGGGTCCAGAAGGCAGGGAGGAAAAGAGGCTTTGGGGGCAGACATAGGCTAAATGCCCAGCTCCTAGGTGCTCACTGTGACCTGGACAAGCTGCTTCCCCACTCCAGGCTGTTTGCCACCTGTCCCCTTGGGGACTGGGAGGTGCAGCTTGCCTTTGCAGAAAAGCAGAGAACACCGCTGTGAGCACACAGTGAGCACCACCCCAAGATCAGTGGTGCTGGCCACTCCTGCCTCTCGGTCCCCTGGTTCCAGCACGTCCGGCTCATGTAGCCCACACCTCTCCAGCCACATCCAAGCATGAGACAAACCTTAGCAGAGGGCAGGTGGGAAATATTCCCCTCTCAGGGGTCCCACCTCCTTCCTCTGGGGCTCCCTGAGCCACAGCCCCACCCCAGGGCTGAGCCCAGGCCCCCGTCCATCTGTCTCACCCGGGCAGGGCTGGGCTTCTGGTGTCTGGCTATGCCAACAGTGTCTGAGCCTTAATCTCCTCTTGGTCTGGGGCTGAGCAGGCTCTGGCCAGGGCCACAATTCCCACGCCTGGCATCTTCTCAGTGACTCGGTGCCCTTGAGGCTTGGCAGTTGGGGAACAGTGGGAGGCTGCGCTGGGACAGTCATTCGAGGTCCTGGCTGCCCCCAGTCCTCCAGCTGAATCTGTCCCACTCCCTGACTGATTGAGCCTCATCTCAAGGGAGCCTCCACTCCTGGCCCTGTCTGCATCCTGCCTGGCAGTGTTGTGTCAGCACCCTAGTGCCCGAGGCCCCTCCTTCCCAGGCACCCAGTGGACGGTGCCGTGGACCCGGGCAGCCCTGCTGCCATCCACCTGCCTCGGCACAACATGAACAGACTGAAGTGGTAGAGAAATCCACACTGAGGTCTTCACAAAACTCATATTCAACCTGCACTTGTACGGTGAGGGATGCAGTTTCTGGGAGCTACAGAGTGTTGTAGGCAGGGAGGGAAGGGAGGGAAGCCAGGCAAACCCTGAGAAGTATTTCCAGTAAACACTCCTGGGAAACTGCCCGGGGATGTGTCAGAAGAAAGGATCCAGACCTCTGAGTCTCCAGGAATTAATTGTGCTTCCTTTTTTACCCCAAATAAATATTTCCTAAGAATCCCAGAGGGCCAGGAAGATAGCCTAGCCACACAAACACCTGCTTGGCGTGCGCAAGGTCCTGAGTTTGATCCCTGCTCTCGGGAGGGAAAATATCTGTGGCCCGCAGCCTGGGGGAGCCCTGAGTTCAGGTCCCGGCAGAACTGCATCCAGATTTTGGACCCACAGAGAAAATGGGACTAAATCCCTGGTGTTCAAAGTTGCTACAGGGCTGGCCAAATAGCTTAGCAGATTAAAGCGCCTAAACTGGATGTGGTGGGGCACACGTGTAATTTCAGCACTTGGGAGGCTGAGGCATGACATTCACCTTGAATTCGAGGCCAGCTGGGACTCTGTAGTGAGTTCAAAACCAGCTTGAACTCCATAGTGAGACCCTGTCTGGACAAAAACAAACAAATCCTCAAAAAACTAAACTGCAAATCTAAAAGAACAAAAAACAGCAAAGAGAGGACTCCTCTGGAAGTATCCATCACTTTCTGTCACTTGCTTGTGTAAAAACCGCCACCACCTGCCCCACGGGAACAAAGTCTCATGACCTGGGTCCTGCCTTCCCATGATCCTGCCCTTGGGAGGCTCCTGCGGCCTCCACACTGCTTGTGGGCCGTGTCAGGGGCCCTGCCCGCTGTTCCCGGCCTGGGGCGTGCACCCATCCCCCAGTTCCCTGCTGAAGGCCCCTTTTTCCCCACAAGCTCCCCTCTGTGGACAGCAGCTTCCCAGCTGTCCCGAGGACCCTGTCTCCTAGGATAACCCCCCTCCGCTGGTGCAAAGCACCCGTGGACTTGCTTGGAGTGGGAAGCAAAGACAAAGGGAGCTCAGTGTCTACACCCGGGTGAGGCTTCTGCAGGGCCTTCTCTAGTGTTCCTGCCTGGGACGACTGAGAGCTGCCCAAGGAAAGCCACAGCCTTCAGCTGCACCCCAGCCCTGCTGACCTGTAGACCACAGCCTGGGGGAGCCCTGAGTTCAGGTCCTGGAGGAGCTACATCTAGATTCCAGACCCATGGAGAAAATGGGGCTAAATCCCTGGGGTTTAAAGTCGCTACATTGGAGGGCCAGGGAGATAGCTCAGTAGAATAAGTACCTGCCTGCCAAGCTTAGGGTTCTGAGTTCAATCCCTGGTACTGGAAAAAAAAGTTGCTATATTGGGGGTGGGGGTGCAGCCACAGATAGCAAATCTCTTGCCAGCCTTCTCTGCATCCACTAGCCCCGACCCAGCTTTATTTTTCCGACCAGCAGCTGCCCTCTGTTTGTCCCTGTCCTCAGAGACCAGACTGCCAACCTCACTTGTCTTCGTATCCCCAGGCTCAGCGTGGGGCCAGGATCCCTGCAGACTGGGCAGGGAAGGCAAGAGAGCAAGGACTGCCAGCTCAGGAAGGCCAGAATGGGACTCAGGCAGGGAGGCCAGTCACTTGGTCCCAGCTGTCCCCCGGGTCACCACTGCTCTGAACAGGGCCTGGGGACCCTGATCTCCCGTCTCCCTCTTTTTCAGTCTTGGGACTTGAAACCAGGGCCTGTCTCACGGAGTTACCTCCCCAGCCCTTTTGATTTTCATTTAGTTAAAATTTGGGACAGTCTTGCTCAATTACCCAAGCTGGACTCAAACTTGTATTATTGTTTTTGAGACAGGGTCTCATTGTGCAGTTTAGGCTGGTCTTGAGCTCACTGTGTAGCTCAGGCTGGTCTCGAACTCCCAGTGATCCTCCTGCCTCAGCCTCCCGACTGCTGGGATTATAGTGTGCGCTGTCACACCTGGCTGGCCACACTTCTGTAGAAGGACTCCATGGAATAGCTTGGTGATCTTCAAGCATCATTCAGACCATGCAGTTCCGGCTGTCCTGCACCTCGGGACCCAAAGCCGGCTTTTCTACATTTGGTATTTGCTAAAGGGCTCATGTGAGTGATCTGATTTTTATGCCCTTGCTAGACACAAAATAATTTTCACAAAAACAATTTGATAAGAAAAGAATCTTATTTCAGCCCACATGTCCCAGATTTTGTTTGGAAAATAGTCCTTGTGCCCATAAAAAGTCAAGGTTGCCGAGTCCCTCCTGGGCCTGCCCCCCATGTGCCTTGGGCCATGCCAGGGGCTGAGAGGCCGGGGCCACTTCCAGCAAAAACACGGGAACCTGCTTGGAACCCAGAGTCCAGTCTGGTCTGGTGGGGCTGGCCCTGGGCCTGCTCTGCTGAGCCACTTCCTCCAGACTGGGCCACTTCCTGTCCCGAGGCACGGAGCTCACATCTGGTCAGGACAACTGGGTGCTGTCCTAGGGAACCCCGTGTCCCCTGCAAACACACTCTTGGAGGGTCCCCTATGCTCCCTGTCCCTTGGGTGGCTGTTCCTGAGGTTGGGACAGAGCACAGCCATCCGGCCTTGGGTCCAGCTAGCTCCTAGCACCTGAGCATCAGGTGACCATGGTGGCCTTTTCTGGCAGTAAGGAACCCCTCAGAGCCTGGAAACCACCCCCCAGCAACCTTCACCAGCCCTCACTTTCTCTGGAGGTAGCTGGGGATCACAGGGGGCACAGGGGACAGAGGACGCTGGGCTCTTCACCTGCTCTCCACTAAAAGCATGATTTGGCTTTTCTCTCTAGGCAAGTGGCTGAAAACCATGACTTTACCAGGGCATGCAGATACCCCGTGAGTGACTAAAAGCAGAATGGGGGGCTGGGGAGATGGCTCAGTAGAATAAGCGCTTGCCTGCCAAGTGCAAGGGTCTGAGTTCAATCCCCAGTTCCACCCAAAAAAAAAAAAAAAAAAAAACCAGAACGGACTTGACCTTCAGCTCGTAGTATTTGCTTGCTCCCTTCCCAGAAGCCCTGTATCAGGTCCCTCCAGCGCCGCATGCTTCTCATGTCCAGGTCCAGAAGCTCTGGGGTCCAAGCCAGTTAGTCCTGTGCTTACCTATTATCCCATCAGCTTTTTTTTTTTTTTTTCTCCAAATGCCTTCGGGGCAGGTTTGGCTGGCTTGAGTTGTGGGGATCGAACCACAGCACCCTGAGCCTGACTGCTTTGTTGAAGCAGACACTTGAAGGACTGAGCTAAGGGGCAGGCCCCCTCCATCAACTTTAAGGGAGGAAGGGAGGTTCAACTCCCCAGGGTGCCCAGACATGGCCCTTCTCGCCCTAACTCTGGCTACCTTGGCTTCCAGCAGAGCTTCCAGGAACCTGAGCTGGCCCCATGCAGAGGCGCTCCTGTCAGGGAGACCGACTGTCACTCCAGCCCGAAGGGCATCTCTCTCCAGGACTGGCCTGCTCAGCCAGACTGAGATAAGGATCCACCGCCCAGCCCACCTCAACAAACCCACAAACAGTGGTCCCGGTCCTTCGCGGGGAGGTTGGTCTGAATCTCTCCATCGGAGCTATAGTCCCTTTAGTCTCCTAAGCCAGCTCAGGATTCTCACTGATGTGTCCTGAAATGCTTTTCTGAGATGATAGGTGCTGTTTGTCTGTAATCCCAGCACTCTGGGAGGCTGAGATAGGAGGGTCCCTTCAAGTTCAAGTCCAGGGCTGGTGAGATGGCTCAGTGGTCTAAAGCACCTACTTAGAACAAGCTTAGCAAAGCACAGGGACCACGATTCAATCCCCCAGCACCACGTGCCAGCCAGCCCCGCCCCCTGGTGGGCTGAGATGGCCACACACACACACACACACACACACACATAAATAAACAAATAATTAAAAAAAACCAAAACTTCAAGTCCAGCCTAGGCTAGATAGTGAGTTCAAGGCCAGCCTGGGGTACACAGTGAGTGCAAAGTCAGCCTGAACAATGCACTGAGACCCTGTCTCAGAAAATAAAAGGGACTTGCCTGGCCAAGTTGAGGTCTTCGTCTCCTCCCTAGGGGAGAAGACATCACTCAGACACAACTGCTGGGACACTCACCACTCCTTGTCACTCTCAGACGAATGTGACCCCAACCCCAAAGAGGCCCTCTGTCTCTGCCCTGCTGGGTTGGAGCCCTTGATCCCCACAGGCCAGAGGCCTGGGCCAGGAGAGCTGCCTGTGGGGAGCGTTGGCCCTGGGCACCACAGAGGACTTTGAAGTTTCTACACCTTCAACAGGCACCAGGTCACACGTCCATCCCACACACCCCTCACCTCCCAGCCCACTCTGAACCCCTTTCTGTCTGAAAGGGCTCTGTCCCCAGAGCCCCTGGCCCAGGGCAACCCTCCAGAAGAGCTGTATGGTCTTAGAAAATCCTTACTGCCCAGCGTGGCGATGTATGTCTATAATTCCAGCACTCATGAGACTGAGGCAGGAGGATCTCCTTCAGGGAGGAGCCTGAGCTACATAGATAGTGAATTCGAGGCCAGCCTGAACTGTGAGAACCTGTCTCAAAAAACAAAAAAGGGGTCCAGGGAGATGGCTCAGTAGCATAAGTGCTTGCCTGGCATGCACAAGGACCTGAGTTCAATCCCCAGTTCGGAAAAAAAAAAAAAAAAGTCCTTCCCCGGGGTTTGAGATTGAACCCAGATCTTTTAAGAAAAATTAAAAAAAAAATTTTAAAAAAATTTATTTTTTTTTGGTGGAACCAGGGATTGAACTCAGGTCCTTGTGCTTGCCAGGCAAGCACTTATTCTACTGAGCCATCTCCCCTCACTGTATTTTTTTTTTTTTAGGTTTTATTTATTTTGTGTGTGGCCAGCTCAGCCCACCAGGAGGCGGGGCTGGCTGGCATGTGGTGCTGGGGGATTGAACCACGGTCCCTGTGCTTTGCTTAGCTTAGCTTGTTCTAAGTAGGTGCTTTAGACCACTGAGCCATCTCACCAGCCCTGTCACTGCATTTTTAAGCAGGCACTTAAACACCTGAGCTAATGGTTGGGCCCCCCAAGAAAAATTTAATTTTGAGACACGGTGGTAAGATGCTCAGGCTGGACTCACACTTTTGATCCTCCTTCCTCAGCCTCCCAGAGTGCTGGGACTGCATGTGTGTGCCACCTGCTCTGATTCAAAAGCCTCTTACCCTCTCCATGACTTTGTAATTCTAAACTCTAGTGGAGAAATTCATCTTTATTGTTCATGAGGCAGGAAGGGAGGCCAGCAAAGGGAGAAGCCGCTTCGAGGACTCAGCTGTCCCCCATCCTTCATGGGGGCTGCATCCAACACCCACCTGGAGTTAACTTGGGGGCCTCCAGGTGCCCCAGCTGCCCTTTTCAGATGCCCCAGGGCCTGTCCTGTGGTCCAGGAGGAGCCAGCCCTGCCCCTGCTCTGGGCAGCATGCAGAGGTCAAGGCCTAGAAGGTCAGGCTCTGAGGGCCCGGGATTGTGTCTGGGTTCTCCCTGCGGTGGATCACGATGGTGCTGTCTTCTGGGGTTCAGTGGGGGCCGAACGCAGGGACTTGCTGGGCACAGAAACTGCAGGCTGGGATGGGAAGTCCTGGGGGGTGGGAGTGTAGGAACCACTCATTTCCTGCCCAGCAATCCCCAGGCCCCAAAATATTGGGGACCGTCCTTCCTCTTGGGTCTCCTTGGGTGCAGGTAGGGTGAGGTGTCCCTGTTTCTAGTTATATGGGTGACAGCCTGGGCCTACCTACAGGGTGGGGGAGAACTCGTTCTAGCTGCGCCCCAAGAGAGGTCAATCTAGCTCTTGTTGAACTCAGGCCTTTTAGGCCCCTAGGCCGGTCTGGAGCAGGTCATCAGGGCTGAGGGTCACAAAGGGCGGGGGGGGCCCACCTGGAGCTGGCAGAGGTCGAGCAGGGTGCGGACGCCCGCCAGGCACCAGAGCTCGCCCAGCAAGGAAAAGAGGAGGCCCAGCAAGTCCAGCCAGCGGCCCACAGTCAGCAGCAGCACGAAGAGGCCGCCCATGCGCACCAGCACCGTCTGCACCTGGTTCTGCATGCTGAAGCGCTGCTGCCGCTGCTCCTCTGGGAACATGGGACCCATCACCACCCACTCACTGCTGCACCCCAGGCTCGACTGGGTTCCCCGGCCACCCGTCTGCATCCTCAGCTCCTCTGTGCACACCCAGAGGTGCCAGGGACGCCTGCCTCCCCATGCAAGGGTCCTGGCTGTCACTTGGGCCAGGGATCATCCTGACCCTTCTCATTCCCACATGTCCCTGATTGCTTGTCTAGAAACCTGGTGACTCCTTCCACCAGCTTCTCCTCGGTCCCAGCTGCCTCCTGCCTGCCGGCAGCAGCAGCCTTCTTGAGACCTCCAGGATTTGGTTCTTTTGTTTGTTTTGGTTTTCTGAGAAAGGGTCTCATTATGTGGTTCAGGCTGGCCTTGATTTGCTTTGTAGCCCAGGCTGGCCTCAAATCACAGTGACCCTCCTGCCTCAGTCTCCCGAGTGCTGGGATCACAGGCGTACACCACTACACACAGCTTCAGCTTCAGTTTTGACCCTATGATCCAGTGTCTGCTGACCAGCTAATCATGTCAACTAGATGAGGTCATTCCTCTGTTTATAGCCCTTCAGGGCTTTCTACTACATTCAGAGGAAAAGAGATCTTGCTTCACTGGCTGACTTGGGGATGGCGCGAGCCCACCCCCACCTTCTGTCTCTGACTCCTGTCCCCTTGCCTACACCCCACCTCCCAGACAACCTGGCTTCCTCTGTGCTCACCCACCCCAGGGCCTTTGCACTTTCGTTCTGTCCATCTGGACCACCCTCCTAGACCTCTGCTCCCACCCCTCTCCACTCTGCAACCAGACAGTTCTTCCTAGAGGCCCTCACCCTGCATGTAGATGACCAGCAGTGTGTAGCAGATCGTGAGCGGCGTCCAAAAGCGCACCGCCTCCGAGGTGCTCAGAAAGTCCTGGTTGATGAGGGCCACGGCCGCCAGGTTGCCCACAGCGAAGGCCACGGTCAGGGCACGGCCCAGCAGCATGGGGAGGCGATGAGCGCCTGCCAGCAGGCCCAGGCAGACCCCACAGTAGCGCTGGCTGCTGTGCAGCTCGTAGAGGCAGCAGACGTGGTGGCAGAGGCGGCGGGCACCCGAGCGGAGCAGCGCAGCCAGCGCAAGGCTGAGCAGCAGGCTGAGTGTACGGTGCGGGGCGCCTTCCTGCAGGAAGCTCAGCCCGCAGCTCAGCCCACAGCCCAGTGCATACTGGCTCAGTAGGTAGAGTTGCAGCGTCTCTAGGCCCTGGGTGCCCTGCAGGAAGTGGAAGGGGCGACTGTCTTGTCCCACTGCAGGGCACCGTCCCTCTGTCCATCTTTGAGCTGTAGGAATTTGACTTAGAGCTCAGAGACCCTGCTTCCACCTGACTTCCCTTGCTGGCGGGTGACCAGTGACAAGCTGTGCCCTCCCTCTGAGCCTCAGTTTCCCTGTGTGAAGTGGGAGTCACACAGCATACCCTTGTCCCTTCTGGCTGTGAGCATGGGATGAAATGGCCTCCAAACAGCCAGACAGAGCCTGGCTCAGGGAGGCTCCGCACACAGAGCTGGCGTTGTTTTCCCGGGACTAGGGCTGTTTCGGGTGTGGATGGAGAAGTGAATTTGGCAGTCAATCAGAAACCTTACTCTCAACCTGAGGGCCAAGGGGGACAGGACGACAAACCCAGCTTTCTCATGGTCAGGGGCCAGGGCCAGGGGTGACTCACCTGACCCACTGTCTCACCTTTCGCAGGGACAGCAGCATGGACACAGCGCGTAGGGAGAACTCCAGCACCACCAGGGCAGCCACCCGGGCGTCCACAATGGTCAGGAACAGGGCCAGGCCAACCAGGTGCACGGTCTCCAGCAGGGCCCACTGGGCCCGAAGCCGTTCCGTTTCTGTCCGCCGCTTGGGGTCACTGTCAGTACCGAGGAGCAGGGGCAGCAGCCTCAGCCTCCGCAGAGAGGTGAGGGCCTGGCAAGGGGCTCAGGGCAGGGGCACTCACTTGGCACAGCCCACGAAGAAGTAGACTTTCAGGAGGCTGTTCAGAATGGAGACCCCGAAGGCCCCAGTGAGGCCTGTGTGGACAGAGGGAGGAAGGGAGGAGGCCTAGGCCAGGGGTGTTAGGAGAACAGGGCTGGAGGCTGGCGCCTGGGTGGGTGGGGCCCACCTGTTCCCTGGGAGGGCGGGGTCCAGCAGACTGGGAGCGGGCACTCACCTTGCAGGAGCCCATCGAGGAGGCTGCAGCCCCACTCCAAGGAGGGGAGGCCCGGGAGCCAGGAGGGGAGGGGCAGCATCGAGAACATGGCAGCCCCAACCTGGCCCTGCCTCAGGCCAGGTCTTCATGGGACGGACTGATGACATCACCGGGCAAAGGTGTCCATGGAGGGCAGGGGAGGGGCTGGGAGGGGTCAAAGGTCCAGGAGCAGAGAGGAGAGGCCCAGCCTTAACCCTTCCAGGCTGCGGGGAGGCAGGCCTCACCCAAAGGCCCAGAGGACACCAGGGCCAGCTGCTGTCCTGGCTTCCCTCAGGAGCAGGAACCCTCTGCTCCTGCTAGTCTGCCATCTGCTTGTCTTCTCCCAAAGGGCTTGAACCCCACAATGCCTACCAGCAGCCAAGTTCTTCCTGTCCTCTCAGCCAGAAGTGTGGACTCGGTTCGAGCCCAGGTCTGGCAGTGTGAGTCTCTACCCCCAGCCTGAGGTCTCTCCTGGCTGCTCAAGGTAGAGGTCTGTCCTCGCAGGCAGGAGAGGTCAGGCGCTCTCTCTTCCCGCGGTCTGGTCTGGTCTGGTCATCCAGCCTCCCTGGGCCTTGGCTCTGGCCTGGATGTGGGTCCACCTGAGAACCCCTGCCGATGCCTGTAGGTGTGTCCTGTGGTCATCCACCCCGTGTCCGCTAGGTGGCAGGCGGCACCTGGCCTGGTGGCCTAAGCCTGGCACACAGGAACTTCTGCCGCCCTCCTTCCCCAGACTGAAAGAACAGAGTGAGAGCGGAGGTGGGGACGGAGGCTTTACAGAGGAGTCGCTGAAGTAACCAAAATAGAAAATTTTATTGGTTTGGAGTGTGTGGGGGGACACGCTGTGGCAGTGAAGATCACGGGCTGTGACAGGGCTGTCTGCCTTGGTGAGGCGCTGTGTCTACCTTGCGGTACAAAGGTCAGCACAGGTGGGGGTGAGGGGTAGAGTGGGAAGACACCTGCCCGAGGGGGAGAGTGGCTGCCTCTGGAAAAGGGGCACGCTCTTCCCTCTGTTCCTGGCTCCACCCTGCCACTCTCCCCAAGCTCCCTTTCAGAACCCTCAGGAGGCCCTCAGTAAAGGCCCTCTGATGGTGCCTAGTGAATTACATCCCCAAATCCCCCAGCCCGGGCTGTGACTGCTTGTTGAAGGTGGCAAAATAACCTCTTGGTTAAGATGGAGTCTAACATGACTGACTGGTGTCCTTCTAAGAGGAGATTAGGACATAGGCACAGGACACACAGGACAGCCACGGTGGACGCAAGGAGAAGGTGGCCTCTACAAGCCCAGGACAGGAGCCTCAGGAGAAAGCAGTCCTGGGCCGTCTGTAGCTCCCTGCTAGAGGGTGCGGCCAGCAAGTCAAGGTCCTGCATTCTACTCTGAGTGTCAGGAGGGAAGGGAGAGAAAGAAAGAGGAAGGAAGGAAAGAAAGAAGGAAGGAAGAGAAAGGGAGAAGGGGAGGGGAAAGAAGGAGAGAAATGAGCCCTATCAACATCTTAGTTTCCACCTTGCAGCCCGCAGATGGGAGAAATAAATTTCTAGTGCTTAAGTCCTGGACTGTGTAGCACCCTGTTAGAACCAAGACAGCGAGGACACCAGGGTCTCCTCACCCAGGTAGGGGCTGCTACGGGACCCTCCAGCCCCACTGACCTGGTATGGCAGTGCTTTTATCAAAAGCCCAGGTCTGAGCAGGCAGAGCTGAGTTTCAGTCCTGGCTTTGCCACTCCACAGCTGTGTGGCTTTGGCCAGGACCTCGTTTACTGTCCTGGCCTCAGCTTCCCTGGGGTGGAAGGACCTTGCCTGTGGCAAGCTGGAGTAGCAGGGTGGTGCCACTCGTGGCAGTACTGGTGCCGAAGCTACTCCTGAGAACGAGCCAGTGCTGGGGTGTGCCGGCCCAGGACGGAGGGGCATGAGGAGGAGAGGTGCTCAGAGAGGATGCTGGGCCTCAGAGGCTGGAGGACTGAGTGGTCGGCACCTTCCCCAACCTGTGCAGGACCTGGGCCATTGCCCTGGCATGTGTGGGACGGTCAGGTTGGGCTGAGGGACAAGGCCTAGGTGTCTGAGTGCCGGGCCCGGCTGGCAAGCTTTCGCAGCTCGTCCCAGAAGAGCATGCTGAGGATGGTATGCGGGCCCAGACGCAGGTAGGCAGGGCCGAGGCCTTTGTAGAGCGCTGAGGGGCCCTCCTGCTGGCAGGTCTTCACCAGGCAGTCGGCGAGGCCCCCATACAGTTGTCCCTGGGACAGACACAGCGCGGGCATCACTGTGGGGCTGTGAGGCCCCCACTGGCACCGCCAGGCATGTGTATCTGTGTGTCCCAGTGCGTGCTAGTATGTCAGAAATGGTATGTGTCGTCAGCTGGGCCGATTCTAAACAGGTGGCCCTAGAGGGTGTGATGCTAGAAAGGGGACCCCTCGGTGGGGCTCGCTTGGCTCAGGACATGGCACCTGCATCGAAGCACATCTGGGAGGCAGGAAGTGCCCCAGGAAGCCATGGCTCCAGCCTCAGCTCCCCACTAACCACTGGGGGAGCCCCAGGCAAGTCAAAAGATCTGGCTGTGCCTCAGACTCTTCATCAGGAAAAAGAATAAAAACCAGATGCCAGGGCTTCAGGCCCTCCTCACACAAGCCCAGCCCCTGCATCTGGGTGTCACCGCGGGTTCCAGCTGTGCGTGTGAGTGGGTGTACTGGGGCCTCCCACTCCCTGGCCTGCCCCACCCTGTCCCCCACTCACCCTGCCAGCTCCATCCACGGGCTGATTGTACAGCCGTGTGCTGACCACATCGAAGGGGGTCATGACAACAGCAACAGCCACACTGCTGATCATGCCCCCCGCCAGGGCCACCAGCCAGCTTTCCTCCGGGAGCCACTGTGGGGATGGCACAGGCTGCTGACCCTGTGGCTGCCCTCTTCACACCCTTGGGGTGACCTCCCCAACCCCCAGCAAGGGGACTGGAAGGGCTGGGTCAGAGGTGGACTAGGCCCCAGCAGCTATTCCTCCCTGCCCACAACCCTGATTCTTTCACAGCTTTAGGGCTCATTGGTGGCCCCAATTCCCACTGGGCCCAAGGGCCAGGTCACCATTCTGAGGACAGAGCCAGTATGCCAGCTTCCTCAGGGGCTCCGAGTGTTGCCCTTGGACTTCCTGTGTGGGAGGAGGCAGGTGGCCCCTGGCCCCTCACCTGTTGCTCCTGCACCCAGGCCTTGGCAGAGGCGAAGGTGGACAGTTGGGTGGCCGAGCCCACCATGACTCGGGGCACCGCCCCGCCAACGCCCCGCCACAGTCCCAGCAGGCCCTGCCGCCGCCAGATGGTCTCCAAGGCACCAAGGACGCTCTGTGGAGAGAGGGCATGGGTCACTGGTGCCCCTGCCAGCCCGGGCACATGCGGTGGTACAGCCCAGCGCTCTGGGCAGGGGGCTGTTCACCTGGTGCTGGTGCTGGTGCCCCACGGCCATGGCGGTCACCGTCTGGGCCTGCAGCTGCGTCTTGACCTGCGAGATCAGAAAGGTTGGAAAGAGCCTGGGGGACGAGCTGGGTGTGTTGAGGATGTGGTGCCCTGAGCCCTGGGAGGCATGCACAGGGCCTGGGCTGACACTGTGTGGAAGTTCATTAGCCTCCTCTGAACTCAGTTCTGTCACCGCCAGAAGACCAAGTGAGAGAACTGCGCAGCGCCCAGACTAGGACGCAGGAGCCCTGGCTTGGCGGCTGCTTTGGCTCCTGCTTTACATTAGGCGACACAGGAGGAATCACGCCCAAGCCAGGATTTGCTGCCTCTCTTTGCCCTGTGCCCTGGGCCAGGTCCAGTGGGTGGGGACCTCAGAGCATGAGGGTTAGGGCAAGGCCCTAGTGCCAAGGGACAGATTCCATTCTACCCTGCCCGGCCAGCCCCACCCACCCGAGGCCTGAAGCTCCACGGCGCCCAGTCAGAGGGGTGGAGGATGGAGACGACACACTCACCAGGTAAGCAGGGCTCCCCACAAACGCTCCCAGTGCCCCAGCCACGGCGCCTGCAACCACAGTGCCCCCTGGATGCTGGCTGAGGCCAGCTTGGCATGCCAGGCTGTAGCAGTAGAATCGGACACCATTCATGAGCCCTTGGTAGAGGAGGCCGGCGGCCAGCCCCTTCTGCAGGCCCCACAGGCCATCTGCTCGAGCCACAGCAGCCACGGAGGCCACCAAGCCACGGTAGAGTCTAGGGTAGGTACCCCGGGCCTGCAGCTCTCCCTGAAGCTGCAGCCGCGTCTTCACCACCTCCAGAGGGTTGGTGAACACACAGGCCAGGCAGCAGGCGGAGGCACCCAACACCAGGTCCACTGCTGGAGGAACCGGCTCCACAGCCTCCATGCCAGGGCCCGGCTGTGCCTGGATCAGGGGCACAGGCTGGGCCATAAACTGGCGGGAGAGCACGGGAACCCCGGCTCATGCCTAGAAGACCGGTCGCAGCTGAAGGCAGCAGCTGTCCTGTGGCCCCTGCTCTATCTTGAAATCCACCTGCTCTGCTCAGCAGGCCCAGGCCTGGTGCCTGGACCCGCCTCCTCCAGGCCGGACCAATCCCAGCTGCCTCTGGCCCTGGAGCCTGGACCCTGGGATCTGGGGGAAAGGTCACTTGAGACTGGAGGGGTGGGGCAGGGAGAAGGTGGCGCCAGCAGAGGCACCTCCTCCTCCCACCTCCTGGCCTTCCAGTCCTGCTCCAGATGTGGGACAAGCAGGCTGGAAGGCCCCTGGCACAGGGCCCACGGGCGGTTGTGCAGCTGTCCCATCGCTACTCCTCCAAGCTGTGACTACCTCCTAAGCCTCAGTATTCTGGCCTGACGACAGTCAATGGTCTGGCTTTGTGCAAACAGTTCTTCAGGTGCTGGAGGCCTGAAGAACTATGCTTCCGCCCCCCCCCCCCCAAATTCACAGCTGAGGCCAGCACTCTACTCTGAGCTACACACCGTACTGTGAATCTCAGTGCTGTGGGTAAGCACTTCCTCTCCCAGCCTCTGTCCCACTCACTTGTACAATGGTGACACGGTGACCTTGCCACCTGCAGGGGACTCCTTCCAGGGCCCCAGTGGATACCTGAAACTGCAGACAACACCAAACTGTGTGTGTGGTATTAT